TCCTACCATCGGAGCACAGGAATGCATTGTCGCGTGGCAGCATCCGCGCCCCATTGCGGGGTTTCGTCCGTGCAACCACCAGACCGCGCGCGGGTACGGACGAGAGCATCTGGATACCTAAGGTAGGTACAGTACGAATACATAGACATGAGACGACGACAATACCTACATGTAGACCGTGCGTGGCCCGACGATTACTCTTCACAGCGTCGCAGCGCTCCATGCGACGACGCCCCTGGCCGCTGGCGCCCCAGCCCAACGCCCCTGCGTGGCCCAACGCCCGCTGGGTCCCATCGCGGATGGATCGATCGATCACGCGGCACTGCGTACGTAGTTCGAATTTCAGCCGCCGGGCTCCTGCGTAGCTCCTTAGATGCCATCTCATCGTTCATGTTGTGCTTTGCAAAAAGCAGACACGACGTGCACATCATCACCAGTCGGACAATGAATGCTGCGCGCCTAAGCGGCAGCGTCTCCCTCCGACCAAAAGGGGTGCAGCGTGCGGTAGCATCGGGTCCGGACCCCTTGTCCCGATGGCTTTAGGCACGTCAGCCGACGACAAACGCTCCGGCACTCGGGACTCTTTCATGCACCAACGCCTAATTCTACTGTACTGTATCGCCAACGTGTCTCCGGCCGACTCCATGTCCTTTCCGACTCGCCCGAGCACAAACGTGGCGCTGTCGGCATCGCACGGCACAGGCCGTCCTCTGTCGCGTGTCGTGCAACTGTGCACGAGTATTGCACCAAGTACGGACTATGGACAGCGCTCAGGCTCCATCCACGTTGGGACGGGTGGCTTGCCCCCCCCCCCTTTTACCATCCCCGAGAGGCTGTGATCTTCGTCCACCAACGGTGCGTTTCAGCCGGCCCGCAAACCGGGTCTGCACCTGAAACGGCCCTGCTCGTAAATGCACAAACGAACCTGTACCAAGTGCATGGTGCCTGGATCGGCATGAGCTGAGGGCGAGGCCCTGGGACCGCCTCTGCCGAGCATGGTACTGTTCTGTACTGTAGCGGTTCTCTGTGGCCTGCGGCCTGCCCGCGCGGGAGGGCTTCATTTCCCGGCGAGGTCGTGCCTCGCTGCGGCATTAAGGGGTGCATGCGGCTGTCAACATACGACATCTTCGACGACCAGGCTCTGTGGGCAATTATGCTCGGGGGTCGCAGGCTGCCGCGACAGGTGACGTGACACGGGGCCTCTCTGTGGTTGTCGTGTCGTCGGAGCCGACGTGCACAGGCACGCACGCACGCATTTCACATTCACATACGCCATACCGCACGCACGGCACACATCCTATACTCCAGTCTACCTACACACGCACCGCCCGACGGCCGCTGCGAGCGGGCACCGCGGCCGAACAGGCGTTCTCCCCCCCCCTTTTTTCTCCTCGGCTTCGCTCAGCTGGTACTGTAGTTCGTAACTGGAGGAGGGTGGGAACCAACGAACCGCGCCGCTGGTGCGCCTGGTTCCTGCGATGCGCCCGCCCGGCGATCCCCTGGCTCGGCGCAGGCGTGGCGTCGTTCATGTGGTGGACCGAACGCGCCCGGGGGGGGGTTCCATGGCGTCGTGGGTCGAACCAGAAGCAACTCGGGGCGGCGGCGGCGGCGGGACTCGATGGATGGGCGATCGCATTATTAAACGGGCACAAGCAAGTCGGCAAGGTCGGGTCGGGCAGTGTTGGTCCGCCGGGGTTCTTTATGCGGCCGTCCTCGCTTCCGGTCCAAGGAACTCTCTCGTCACTGTTCGGCCACGCATCGCCGTCCTCGTCGCGCATATAGGTAGAATAGAGTTGGGATACGAGACTGCCGCTTCATTCATTCATTCGTTCGTTCGTTCATTCTTCCGCTCGCTCACCTTCACTTCGTTCTTTTTCTCAAGCCAAAAGGGGGGCTTGGATCGGTCGTTTCTACATGTCAGTCTTTACACTTGATCTCTGAGCGGTTGCGATGAAGCTATTCGGGGCTCTTGGCACCCTCGCCCTGTGCGATGCGGCCTGCCTCGTCCACGCCGTGGCCGTCAAGCCGAGGCCGAGGCCACAAACGGCGAGCCCAGAACACGACCTCGCGGCGCGCGAAACGGCACTCAGCATGTTCGCCGCCAAGCCCATCGGCAACGCCATCAGCCACGCCGGGTGGAAGGTGACGTGCGACAGCGAGGAGGCGGCCGACGGCAACGAGTGCGGCAAGGCCATCGACGGCGACAAGGGCACCTTCTGGCACACGGCGTACTCGGGGGGCGACGCGCCGCCGCCGCACAACATCACCGTGGACATGGGCTCGCAGCAGACCATCAACGGCATCTCGGTGCTCCCGCGGCAGGACGGCAACGACCGCGGGTGGATCGGGCGCCACGACGTGCTGGTCAGCGCCGACGGACGCAGCTGGGGCAGCCCCGTGGCGACGGGGACGTGGTACGGCGACGCGACGGAGAAGTTCTCCAACTTTGAGCCGCGCGCCGCCCGATACGTGCGCGTGGTGACGACGACGGAGGCGCAGGGCCGGCCGTGGACAAGCATCGCCGAGCTCAACATCTACCGCGCCCAACAGCAAGCGCCACCAGCGAAAACCGGCGTCGGCAAATGGGGCCTCACGCTCGACTTCCCCGTGGTGCCGGTGGCGGGCGCCGTCGACCCCCTGACGGGCAAGGTGGTGGTGTGGTCGGCGTACGAGGCCGACCAGTACGAGGGCTCGCCGGGAGGATACACGCTCACGTCGACGTGGGACCCGGCGACGGGCGAGGTGACGGAGCGCAACGTGACCAACATCGGGCACGACATGTTCTGCCCGGGGGTGTCGCTCGACGCCGAGGGCAACGTGGTGGTGACGGGGGGCAGCAACGCCGAGAAGACGTCCTTTTACGACGCCGCGTCCGAGGGCTGGGTCGCCGGCCCGGACATGAAGGTGCCGCGCGGGTACCAGTCGTCGGCGACGTGCTCGGACGGGCGCGTCTTCACCATCGGCGGCTCGTGGAGCGGCGGGCAGTACGAGAAGAACGGCGAGGTCTGGGACCCGGCGCGCAACGCGTGGACGATGCTGAGCAAGGCGGCCGTCAAGCCCATGCTCACGGCCGACCGGCAGGGCATCTACCGCGCCGACAACCACGCGTGGCTGTTCGGCTGGGGCAACGGCAGCGTGTTCCAGGCCGGGCCGAGCACGGCCATGAACTGGTACGACACGCGCGGCAGCGACGGCGGCGTCTCGACGGCCGGCCCGCGCGGGTCGGACCCGGACTCGATGTGCGGCAACGCCGTCATGTTCGACGCGACGCAGGGCAAGATCCTGACGGTGGGCGGCGCGCCGTCGTACCAGGACGCCGACGCGACGGCCAACGCGCACGTCGTGACGATTGGCGCGCCGGGGACGCAGGCCAAGGTGAAGGCAGCGGGCGGCGGCAAGATGTCGCGCGCGCGCATCTTCGCCAACGCCGTCGCGCTGCCCGACGGCACCGTCCTCGTCACGGGCGGGCAGCAGCACGGCGTGCCGTTCGCCGACTCGACGCCGCAGCTGACGCCGGAGCTGTACGACCCGGCGCGCGACGCCTTCGTCGAGCAGGCGCCCAACTCGGTGGTGCGCGTCTACCACAGCATCGCGCTGCTGCTGCCGGACGCGACGGTGCTGAGCGGCGGCGGCGGGCTGTGCGGCGGCGCGTGCGACACGAACCACTTTGACGCGCAGGTCTTTTCGCCGCGGTACCTGTTCGACGACCGAGGCGACCCGGCGCGGCGACCGGCCATCCGCTCCGTGGACGGCAAGGACGGGCTGCGCGCGGGCGGGCGCATCGCCATCGAGACGGACGGCGCCGTGCGCGCGGCGGCCCTCGTGCGGTACGGGTCGTCGACGCACACGGTCAACACGGACCAGCGGCGCGTGCCCCTAACGCTGAAGCAGCAGCAGGCAGGCGGGGACTCGTACTCGTACACGGCGCAGCTGCCGGCGGACCTGGGCGTGCTGCTGCCGGGCTACTGGATGCTGTTTGTCATGAACGACAAGGGCGTGCCGAGCGTGGCGACGACGGTCAAGGTGCTGCTGTGAGGGAGGGCGCCTGGCAGTGCGAGGAGTTAGTAGTAAATGTTTTAATGTCGTGTAGCATGGTGCAGGCAGGAATTCCGAGTCCATGATGATGATGATGCCTGTGCTGTCTTGCTGCACGTGTTGGCTTACACGCCAGGCGTCCAGCGTCAAGTCCAAGAGAGCTCCAACACACGCACACACACACACACACCCCGTTTCAGGGTATTCATTGTTGGCCGACCGGCCTAGACCGGGACTAGAAAATCTCTGGGTCGACTCTGGCACAATGGCCCAGCGGAGCAAGCCCGGGAAAAAAAACATTCCTAGCGACTTAGTCTGTCTAGGACTTGATAAGTGGTTCGACGATCGGCGACATGCCGTCATGATGAACTTGCAAGACATCTACAACCCCCTCATCTCATCATGCGCGTCAACAGGAGCAAACAGCCGGTGAGCCGATATCCCCTCGATCGAAAAGGAGCACCGAAAGGGGCATGCCACCGTCGACGAGGTCACGGCCAAGGACGACGGCGCTTCTCCGTTAGAATCCGCGCTGGCTACCCTACACTATCGATCCCCGATGCGGAATCCTTTGAAAAGAACCGCATGGACGCGGGGGAAAGATCATCTGCTCCTGTCGATCCGAGCCACTGACTGTTTTGCTGACTCTTCCTCGTGGTGACTCCAAGTGTGACTCAACCCCAGCTCGCCATCTCGATCGCGATACGCGTGGGTGCCTAGACGAAAGCTGAACCGTGCCATGGCGGCTCCAAGCACACTGTACCGCTCGATGCACTGGCCAGCAGGACAGCCAGCGTACAGCGATATGGTTTGTGAATCATGCCGCGCCAAAGCCGCATTGGCAATCGCGCATCATCTCGTTGCAGCGCTGCGCAGCTCAACTATCGTCAGCGCGTTGATGTGCGGTGGTTGCGTGGGCATGCGGCGGGTCTATAAGCATCAAATTGGCCGATCTATCGGTACCGGCCTCTATGGCTCAGTGGTAGAGCGTCGCACTTGTACCAGTCTACAAGGTCATGCGAAGGTCCATAGTTCGATCCTGTGTGGAGGCTCGTTTTTTTTTTGGGAGCAGTCTCTAAGTGGGAGTAGAGACAGGCTAACTCGAATTCGTCCTCGGTCGTCTCACTCCAATTCTGGGGTCTGCTCTGCCTGTCGGGTCGCATGTCTTGGCTACCCACCATGACCCGTTCGCTGGTGGTGCCCACCCGTCTCGCCCCCAAGCTTTTTTTTCTTCCTCGTTCCGCCTGTTGGACGAGCAGACCGGGTCCGCTGGGAAATGATGTCGGCAGTTTCCAATTTTTTTTTGACAAGTGGCTTGCTTGCTTGCCTGACGGCATCGACGGGGCATCGACGGATGGACGGAGCCAGCCATGACGAGTGACTCACGATAACAGCTGGAATCATGCAGGCAGCCCACGTGCAAAGGCCATTCATTCAATTCAATGATGCTTCGAGTCTTGCCCCGGCCTGCTGACCGACACGATATGCTCGTCCAATGCGCTGCAGGCCGTGAGTGAGCGATGCGAGGGACGCAATGTTGTCTCGCAGCACTGTACGAGGCCAGGAATGACGGGGTGGACGGACCGGGCGGGCAGCCAACGACACGAGGTTCAACAACTTCCAGGGACGCGATGGAGTGACATGACACCCAGGGATCCATCGTCCAGGGATCCATCGTCCAGGGATCCAATGACGGCGGCCCCCCTCCCGATGGAGACAGCCGACGCCACCACCACCACCGCTCCGCTGGTCCCTTGCTTTTTTTTTCTTCCCCTGCCCGCTGCCCGCTGCCCGCCACCCCCCTCTTCCGCCTGCTTGCTGCTTGCTGGTGCTGCTGCAGGATGCTGCTGCTCGGCGGCTACCTACTGCACGGGGAGTGGGCCGCGGGCACATTGAGCCTGGCCTGGCATGGCATGGCATTCATAGGTAGGTGGCAATGGAGACGGTGACGCAGGCCCCGACTCTGCTGGAGCTGCTGCTGCTGCCGCCGGAGCATTGACGGCCGCGGGTCACGCCACGGACAGCCAGCGTCAACGACTCGATGGCTACGAGTAACTATTGCGTCGTGCGGATGAGGTGTCCGGCTTCTGCGCTTCTGCCACGATGACTCCTCGCGGCGACACACGAGCAAAGCTTGCTGGCCTCAGCTCGGCCAGTGGCGGCGGCGGGCCGCCTCGTCGTGGAATGGGTTGGGGGGCATGATGAGGGGGATATTCACCCATTGCTTCAATGGAGGTTGTGGCCTCACTGTATGCGGCACTGTAAGCCATTGATTGACCCTGAGGTGCCCTGGGCAGCACCAGCAGATGTCCGGGGCCCCTGCAGACGGGACCCTGAGGTGCCCTGTCCTTCAGTGCTCGTCGACGGTCAATGCCTCCAGCGCATGCCTGGCCAGCCGCCCGTCCGCCACTGATCGTCCACCCGGTCCCCTCTCGAGCTTCACCTTCTCCACCCCGCCCGCCGGGCGCAGCGGCCCAGGGGTGCTGCGGCATGCGTGCCACAAAGAGCGGTGACGACCGCCGCAGCGCCGCCCCAGTGCTCGTACAGCGCCTCCTCCTGCAGCGCTGCAGTTACAGCACCTCAGCGTCAGCCGAATGACGCTGCGCGCAATGGGCTTCCCCCCCCCGCTGCCCCCCCGATGCAGCTTAGCGCCCCCCCTCCGACTCCTCAGGCGAATCAGGCGCCCGAACCCCACCGCTGGGAAAAGTTTGGGACAAAGTATTTCTCTCCCTCAGTCGGCGGTCCCTTCTCCTCCTCTTCTCCCTCTCCTTCTCCTCGTGCTGCACCAGCAGATCCCGTACTCACCCCCCAAAACAGACAACGAAGTCGCCCTGCCTCAGAGCCCCCCAGACAGAACAGCCTACAACCGAAACTTCGTCGATTCAAGATGCCTTCGGCCGTCGCTGAGCTGTAAACGCCCACTGCAGGCCGCGTGCCCGCCCGGCGTCCCCCTGCCATCCGTGGCCCGCGGCCTGCAGTCCAGCAGTTCACCGAGTTCAACAATCAATCCGACGAACAGTTTCGCACAGCCTCTCCCGCTTCCCGGAGCCGGAACCGCACACGCTCCCACCCGAGAGTCTGTCTCTGCAACGATCCAATCTGCCGCCTGCCCGTTCACCAGGGCGACTTCGCCATCTCCATATACGACCCTCACCTCACCTCACCTCACCACTCTTCTCCTCCGCCTGTTGGCTGTGTCCGCCTCGCTCCGAAGTACGACCCCATTCGCAACCCGTGCGTCTTGCAATATCAATGTCTGACCGCGAATGGCCTCTCTGCCTCTAGACGACAAATCTCAATTTCCCCCAATACGGTCATCTGCTGTAGCCATTTTCGAGCAGCGATACACCCCCTCTCCCACGTCTTGACTTGACTTGACGTGCATGATATCCACCGCAGTCGAAATTCACATACACACCACCAGGAGCGCTCCCACGAGCCTGCAGCGTGCAACTACGCATCCGTCTCAGCACCAGCAAAAATCACACATTAGACAAAAGTTTGCCTAGACAGAAATGTCTCGCAACGTTCGACAAAAGTACCCTTCCGCCCCCGTCAAGGCAACCAAGCGCCGCGGCTCCGACTCGTCGTCCTCGCTCGACCTCTCCGACGATGACGGCTACTCCGGCGTCGAGGACATCAGCGATTCTGAGGACGACGACGAGGATGATGTCAACGCGGTCGAGGAGAAGAACATTCGGATCGAGGGCGTCCGCCCCGGCCACGCTCCTCGACCACAGCCCGCGCCCGTTGCCGACGACGACGAGGACGATGAGGACGACGACGACGAAGCAGATGAAGACGACGACGAAGAAGAAGAAGAAGACGATGTAGAGGAAGACGACGACGACGAAGACGAGGCTCGCTTCGGCGACGGCGACGAGACCACCAGCTGGGCTGGCATCGTGTCCGAGGCCGACGGCAGCCAAGTCTCTGACTTCTACCACGAGCCCAACACATTTGCCGCCGACGCTGCCGTCACCCGCCACGTCCGCTTCGACGTGCCCTCGAGCGAGTCCGACTCCACCGACACGGACGAGGATGACCACGGTGACCTGTTCCCGGACATCTTTGTCTCCCAAAACTCCCTTGACCCTGCCTTTCGTCGTGAGATTGAGCATGACCCCGACGAGTCCTCGGGCTCCGGCTCCTTTTGGGACTTCAACGGCCAGTACGAAGACCATCGCGAGTCGGACGCCGAGGAGGTCGTCCGTGAGGTGTCGGATGACGAGACGCCCACGGCCACGCCCAGGCCTACCCAGTCTGCCATGTCCGCCCCGTTCACCCCTTCCTTTGAGGAGAACCTCGAGCTGGACGGCTACGAAAGTGAGTTGCTTGTGCTGTGCTTGTATGTTTGTGTTTACCGAGTGTCGTGCTTACCTGCCTCCCCCCTCCAGCTGATGGCGACACGACCGAAGAGGACATCCCGGAGCCCCCCATCCGTCGCAAGACTCGACGCCCGTCTAATCCCATGAGCGAAATGTCCGACGACTCGGACACGGAGTCTGCGGTCCAGACGGAGCGCGGTCAGCCGCGCGTCGGCCGGTTCAAGCTGGACCGGTCGGATAAGAAGCCCATCGCCGTCCTGAACCCCCTGACGCGCAAGATGATGATCTTTACGCCCCACCGCCGGCGCCAGCTGGACCTGTCGCCCGAGCAGTTCAACTTCCCGTGGTGCATGGAGGAGCAGTCGTCGCCGCTGCTCAGCAACTCGGCCAACATGATGCTGAGCGCCATGTTCTCCTCCAACACCTTTGGCGACCTGGTGAACCCTCAGACCATGGGCCCGGCCGAGGCCTTCTTCCCCTTCCCGTCCGAGGCCAACACGGCCGACGAGAGCTCGACGGCGCCGCCGAGCGTGCAGGGCGACGGAGACGAGGCCGAGAAGGGGCTGGACATTAGTGACTTCATCACCTGGGGCGGCGAGTCGTCGGGCGACGAGGGAGACGGCGACTGGGAGCCGTCATCTACGCCGCTGCGGCCCAGCACCGCCGGCGAGCGCGACGTCCTGTCGCACCTCAATTCGGACACAGTGGGCGCGTTCCGCCGCAACCAGATCAACCAGCAGTTGATCCTCAGCAACCAGGCGACCCAGGACTCGCTGGCCTTTAGCGGGCCCTACAACTACACGGCGCTCAAGGGCCTCAAGTCGGACAGGTTCGACACGGCGGGCATCCCGCTGACGCCCGTGCGGCGGCAGAAGAAGCACCTCAGCGAGGTGGCGCGCAGTCCGCTCGAGCAAGTCTCGGCGAAGCGCAAGGCGTCTGGCGAGGCCGCCGGCGGCGGCCACAAGAAGCACAGGAGCATCTCGGACGTGAACTTTCTGCGGATATGATATAACGATCGGACACGTCGTCGAGGGCGGTGCAGTCGCCCACAAGGGGGGGCGCGGATATACGAGCGGGGACGGCGTGATGCTACTACTGCACACCCCTGGCCTTGCTAACTAGCGGTCTGTAAGCTTGCTTGAAATTTCACACTTGATTCAAATCTGTCGGTCCCGCTGCACGTGCCGTGCTGTAATGTGATGCAACGTACTATGATGTGATGTGCTCCGATGTGCTTGATGTATGACTCGGCCAGCGCGCCGTGTAGAGACTCGACGTGCCAAGGTGTCTCACGATGAGATTCCGCGCAATGCAGGTCAATGATCTACTTGACGCGTGCCTGTCATGTTTCCCACCGCACGAAACGCCGCGTAGAACATGATGCAATCAGAGCGTATTAGGCCATTTGATTGACACCTCACGGTCATGGCTATTATCCTCCTCATCTTGCAGAGAGCGTCACTGCCTACGAACACTGGAAACGTCCCGTTCCCCGCCTCGTGCCATCCAAGCATCATGCCCTTGCCTTGTTGAATAGCATACATAAATACATGCCTTCGTACAGTCAAGTCAATCAGTGGATCAGTTCGTCTGCCAGTCTGTCAGTCTGTCAGTTTGGGTCTGTTTCTGTCTGTGTGCAGGCAGGCAGACAGGCAGGCAGGGCATGCGTTGCATGTAAAGGCAAATGTGGGCAGGCAGCCCTCGAATCAGTCCCTCGCTCACTA